GTATTTTTGAAATAAGTTGCGAAAAAAATTTACTCTGATAAGTCGGGGTGTTACATCATGTATCCGCTCGGAATGGTCGCCGGTCTATTCTGGGTTCTAGTGGCCCTAGTCTGCCCACTAGAGTGTGCACATGGTGTCCGACATTTTTATGCTGGCAGATGAGGTAACGGTCATGGTTCACGTTCACGTGATGATATCAGATTCATGTTCATGTTATTACCGGTATCATGTTCAGGTTATGTATATATACCAGGATCATGATATTGTTATTATATTCACTGTTTACTTTAGTATGAGTTTCCACGGAGCACAGTGTTATAGTGCTCACGACCCACTTTTATCATGTTTTTCAGGTCAGGATGTCGGGCCGGAGGTTTGAGATGACGGATGATTCAGGACTTTTATGCTTGTGACTGTATATATTTTGATGATACTACGTTTCCGCTGATTTAGATGTTTTGACGAACTTGTCTTTTGATCAGACTTTCAGATAATTAATGTTTTCAGTAAACCGTAGATTTGTCTAAAAATTAAAGTAACGGTTTCTCAGAATAAGTCACGTTTTACGGTAGCACCCCGAATCAGTTTTGGCAAATTATAAGATTTTATTTTTAAAAGACTTTGCAAAATTACGCACTCTGATTTCACGATAAGGCGGGGTGTTACAATTGGTATCAGAGCACGTTTTTGCGTCTCTGAGAAATTTTACAAGTCAAAAAGTTTCCAGAAAACCTGAACCGTCACGCTCACGCCTCGCCGACTACAGGTAAGTGTTGATTTATGTTTTCAGTTATAAACAAATTACTATGTCTATGCTCAGAAATACCTCAGTTATGACTTAGTTAAGATGCTCGAATCATGTTCAGGATCAGTAGTCAGTATACTCAGAATTTAGAGTCAGTATTCTTCAGTCATGTTTAGTGACTCGTCAAGAAATTTGTGCGCTTTGCTGATCAGTTTCCAAATGTTATCAGTAAAGATGTTCAGATCAGAATTCAGAACTTTAGAAAGGGACTGAGTTGAAAACTCTAGATTCAATTCTAGATATATTCAAGTTAAGTTAGCAACTTGTCAGGAGATTTGTAAACACTTGTGTTATACAAATCTTAGTGATCAGGTTCCTCAGACATTTTCTATTAGGAATTTCTCATTTTTCCAATCAGTTGGCACATTCCAAGGAGGAATTCCTTGATTTAGCTCAGGGAATATACTCAAATTTCTTAAGTCAGATCAGTAAATCAAGTTCAGGGCGAGATGTTCATGCTAAAGGTTGTTATAATTCGCAAGTCATTGTTAAGATAATGGTTTCCAGTGTATAAGAGTCAATAGTCTGGGTTACCATGGAGGCTTGAAATAAGAGCCACTCAGCCGGGTATACCATGGAGGCTTGAAGCTGGGACCGGAGCAGTATGATTTCATGTAATAACAACCTTTCAAGTCAGTCATGTCATGTATTTTATTAGTCATGATATTTTAAGTTATGATTTTCAAAGATCGAGATCAGCTAATTTCTTTGTACTTGCGGGACCAGTTGATACTGGAACAGCCCTATACAATACATAGTCATGAGTCAATGTTCAAGATTTAATGTAAATATTCATGAGTTTAAGGTCAACGTATAATAGTTGTTCAGTCGGGTTAAATAGGGAGGTCTGCAATACAGACTATTAATCCAATTTTACCTGGAAACTTGAAGTCGTACCTTATCAAGTCAAGC